AGTAATCTATAAAAACAAAATAAAGTCAGAAAGTGTCATGAATGCACATAGAACAATATTCTGAGTGGTAAACAATGAAATTAGATATTGTTTCTGCTACAGACTACTAAGTCATGTTAAAAGCATATCTTGCTTCTTAATCATTTACCTGCTTAATTATGTGACATGAGGAACACACTCCTGGAAGATTCATCTAAAAAGCACATGCCAACAGTGCATTTATATGTCCAAACTCACAACCTCATAACTAAACTGAAGTTAGCATTAGCTGGGGAGAAAAACCTACATTAAAACCAATACGTAACCAAAAAAAAAAAAATCAGACTTCATACAAAATATGAATCAGAAGCTAAGAATGACAAAATATTCAGAAGGTAAGCAAAAAGTTTTATTGACAATGGATGTTTATCCATGCAAATAGCAGGAAGGAGTTGGTTTCTTTTTTTTTTTTTAATAGTGTATTTCAGAGAAAGCAGGAAGTACAGATAAATTTCTGTTCTACATTTGTGGAGAACAAACAACATTATATCACTGAATTCTAACAATAGCTAAGGAAAGCCTTAAACACAGCAATATAAGTAAGACGGTTTTTAAATCAGCAGCTCCAGATAGCTTACATCCAAGAATTTTAAGAGCTGGCAAAGGAGCTGTTGTGTGCTGTTAATGTACATTTTCCATAAGCTTTGAGAAATCTGGGGAAGCCCAGAAAAAAAAAAAATCTCAAAGAAAGCTGAGGTGGTGCCAATACTAGGGGAAAAAAGAAGTAAGAAAGGAACAAATTCAGGAACTTACTGTCAACCTTGCATTAATTCCAGAGAAAGAAAAAATACTGAATACTTGACACATGAACAAGAAATAACTGAATAAATTTTACTTAAGTTACACAGCTTAAATGTATGGAAAATGTATCTTTTCAGACTGACTTTTTTTCTCATGCAATTAGAGCATACATTTGGTAGACATCAGGAACAGTGTTGCTGTAACATGTTTGTACATTGACTTGTTCAGTAGGACACTGAGAAACTGGCATAGTTGTGCACATATGGTTCATAGTAAGTAAATTAAAACTAAAGTTACAGGTCTGGGTCATCAGGAATCCGTCAGACATTGCTAATTGAATCCCACAGGCATTAGTTCTTGTCACCAAACTATTCAATATTTTATCTGGAAGTAAAGTTTACTAAGAACATTCATAAAAGCTCTAAGTAAATAACGTAGCATGCTTGCTGACCGGGAACTATCTAGATTACTGGAAAATTAAGTGTTTCAACATGACCAGTGTGAGGTCATGTATTTAAGAGGGATGAATATAAAACAATTCTAGATGGAAAACTTCGTCAGGAAGTAGTTGGAATAACCGATAAACATGAGTTCCTTATGCATAAGTGAGTTCAAAATCGTTAATATAATTGTTAAATGGCTCAGAAATCAAACCACCAGAAAACAAATGCTGCTTTCACTGCAGAGAGGAAGAGGCCAGAGAAACAGGACTATCACCAAACTAGACTTTTCAAGCACTGATCTCCATTGGCAAAAGACATTGCTGCATTTCAGGAAGCAGTGATAGGATGACCACTTCTGTATCTGTGTTTAGTGGACCTGATTTAACAGAATATAGCATCTAGTCCAAAGCCGTTATTAGTAAACGAGAGATTTCAAAGAGCAAGTACAAACGATCCAAGTGCAAAACAAGTCTAAAATTGAGCACCACAATGGAATAATTGGCATACAAACGTTATCTCCATCACATGAGGTTTAAGGACCATACGAAGACCTATTCAAGTGTGGGGAGGGGGGGGGGAGGAGGAATTATATTAAGTGCAGTGTGATAGCTGAAAGTAAGTTCAGATTAAAATATCAAGGAGTCTTTTTTGAACAACTGTAGTAATTACTAAGTTTCCAAAGGTGGCAGTAGTTTTGCTAACAGTATACATGTCTATGATTACCAGACAACTGCCCCCAAACTAGAATTAAAATATTATTTTTAAAAGACAACCACAATGACCTTATATAGGCCATCATTTCATAACGTATAACATGTTTCTGCAGTCAGATAAATCTCCCAAGTTGTTGAGAAACAGGCATGCTGTCAGCAAAACGCTTGTTTTGGGACTGACAGTTACCGGTGTCCAGGCCAAAGCAATGACTGTTCTCATTAAAAGCATACCCCTCCAATGCCCAATCTGAATAAAGGGACTTCAATAAAAAAAAGAAAAAAGTTCTTACATTCGGGAATGAATGAAACCCGCATTTTTACTTAACGTTGCTTAGAACGCCTGTTCTCACACCTCCGCTTTCAGTAGTGACTGAAAAGAAAAAAAAAGGCCGAGATGGGGAGGGGCTCACGTCCCTGGCAGCAACGCAGACCTGCCGGCACAACACACCCCCCAAGAGAAAGCCGAAAGCTACCGGTAAAGGCAACGAGGAGCGCAAGCTGCCGGCGGGGGGCCCGCGCTCCGCCCCCCAGGCCCCCCGGCGGGGCC